ATGAGGTGAAGCAGACAAGAGCAACAGTTGGGCGCAACGCACGCTTGGATTTTTCCTCAGTCATGAATGCCTATCAACAATAATATCTGTTTGCATGTTTGTTGCGGGCCATTCACGTTTCAATTTATGTTGGGGAAAGCTAGTAATCCAAGGTCCGCAAGTACTTGGTGGATCATCCAGGTGATGTGAAAGGGACACACGCGGCGTGGAGGAACAGCACAGAACGTGCGTCAATCCTGGCTGGAAAGAAGGGTATCCAGTTATAACCTTATTGATGTTCCTTCAGGTTTTTGGTGTGAATCGAAAAGAATCCATGCTGGTGCTGAACGGATCTAAACACGTCACCGGCACGTGTTCGACATCCTGAAGAGCAACTTCGTGAGTTGGGGAAAACAAGCCACCTGCGGTATGTTCATTCACATTTACTCTCTGAGATTCAGTGACGATTTGCAAGTTTGTTGCGTGTACCCTCCACCAGTGCTTTAAGATTAGGAATCTGAATGGGTTTCGCCAGTATGTCTGCAGCTTTTGACGCCCGCATGGCAGCCGGTGTATGGGACGCTTGACTGTTCACTTGCCAATCGCACATCCTTCAAACCAAACACAAGCCTTCCTGAGGATTTACATGGCCTGGGGGGAATCCCATCTTGGAGAACTATGAAGTCTTGACCGTGAACACTGAAGACAACACGGGGCCATCCGGTTTCCAAGTTTTCGAAGGTTCTTCTTCTTTGGTAGAAGAAACCTTGCTGAAGTGGATTAAAGAAGCCTATTATAGGGATTGGTTTGCTTGATTCGCAAGCAGAGTTGCACTCTGACAAGCAGAGTTGCACTCCGGAAGTTTTTAACATCCGTGATCAAAATGAGGAGGCGATCACCTTCCGTGCCAAACAGTTGAGGGTGTCACTCTTTTGAGATAACGAAGCTTTCCCTGTTGCAACTCCACCAATGCCATCAAGGGTTCGTTATTCGTTATCCGAATCCGAAACGACCGCAGCAGATTCGTCACCATCATTTCTCAGGACCCCATGCGGTAGGTTGGCCCTCATTGATTTTGAAAACCATTTGCCTCCGTGGGTACCATTGATTCAGAGCATGTGGAACCCCCAGTTTGCACATTGCCGAATGATGCCGAGTTCGAACCACCATCAACGAAAATCGCCAGAAGCCAAGCTCCGGTACAATCGTGCCACATTGTCCACAGTGGCTATACTGACATGCCACGCAAGTAGAGGCCAGCAGGTTTGTCCATATGTGCCCATGACAAACGCCCTGCCACACTTTCAGAAGCTTGTGAAGATGGATTCTCATTCACTTGCCCTCGGTGTCTTTGACCTTGACTTGCCCGGATGTAGAAGCGAGCTGTCCCGCCGGAGAGGAAGCGCCCCGGAAAACTGTTCGACCACTGCTGGTAAGTCGCCCATGTGCTGTTGGAGCATGGGCTGCAGACTCCCTTGAGACAGGGACCCTTCGCTCACGCACAGATTGTGAGTTCGAAGGCGGATGACGGGAACGCATCTCCTCCTGTACCTGGCACCCTCTTTACCCCAAACAACAGTTGTTTCAGCGTTTGTTGCAATTGCCTCTGAAGAGAGAACCTCCATGAGTATAGGAAGCAACGCAAGAATGTCATGGAGGGATTGCTTCATGAACTAGAGTCAGCTGACCGGACCCTTTTCCTTCCAACACCACACGTTGGGAACAGTGGATGTGATTGAAGGATCCCAGGACATTGGCGCAGACAACCCAGTTCCTGAGCTGATTGAGGAGGAGACTTTGCTAGATGAAGTGGACATCCCAGGACTACCCCTTGAGGAGTCCGAGGGACGCCGCCAATGGCGCAAGCTTCCTTCAGAGAGTTTGCGTTGGTGCGAGACGATTGCGCCATCAGTTTTGGGCATGTTTTTGGCAAGGTATTGATCAACCTTCTCCGTGCAGCTAGGTCGCTGCCTTGGGACTACAGGTTCAACCACACCGTGGGTATTGAACTGCCAGAAGTGATTGACGTTGAATATGGTTTGCGTTGGGACCACGTTCCAGTTGGCGCGTGTAGTGAAACAACATCCTGGCCAATGTTCATCAAGCGCTTGTTTCAAAGCTTTGCAAGATAGATGGTTTGCAGATCGTTTGTGATCGAGGGTTTCGCAACCAAGGAGTTTTGCCAAAGTACATGGATGAGCGCAACACCCCGCTGGAATCCCGTGAAGGGATAGGCCGCGTTGAGAGGCGTGGAGGATTGCTCAAGGGCATGCGCCGCAAGATTTGCCATGAAACCCAGATTCTAGGCAGAGAACAGGTAGAGGCCGCCTTGTCTCAAGCCTGCATGGTGAAGAATGATCAAAATCGCGTTGGATGATTTTCACCAAGCCAATGGGTTTTAGGCAAGGACCTCGAGAAGCCCCAAGCATTATGTCAGAAGAGCAATGGGCGCAGCTAGGAGCCATTGGAGCGAGGTATGACCCAACGAGCATTTTTGATTACAGCACCAAGGACACGTGGGAGCACAAAAGGCATTTGTCCACCTGGATTGTTCCGGGAGAGCGCAAAAGGCACTACTCAGAAACGCTTCGACCATCAAGCAGACATACTGACATACTCAAGAAGGCTCAGAAGGGCAAAAGAATCTATGGTTGCTTTGTGGTAACGTTCCTGTTTTGGTAGCCGCCCAAAACGTCAGACCTGCAACCGCTTGAGAGGCCTTAGCGCTGGGCATTTTGCAAGGTGATCCAATTGTGTCAGGTGAGATTGTTGAAGGCGCAGGTCAACCGTCATTCCTAGACGCGCGTATGAGAGGCCAAGAAGAAGTTGAACAAGCAGCACCACAACCTGCAGCTGAAGGACCATCCTATTCAACGGAACGTCTCCCGCCTGTTCAAGAAGAAGAGATATTTGGCGCGTCAGTCCCCAGATCTTTGGAAGGCCGGACATGAGACTGCCAGTGCCACATCCCCGAGCTCTGCACGCCGCAGACCCGCACCTTCCGCCGCCGGACCGTCGCCAAGATCTATCCAGGAGATCTTCTAGTGAGACTCCAGCATCGTGGCCGAATGTTGCAAGCAATTTGGGTATGATTTGCCGCTTTCAATCCGACAGCATTTGGAAAGAGCTTCGCAGCTAGCGCAGGACGATCCTTCTACGACGGCCAGCTTGGCAGCAGGGTTTTTAGTTTTTAGCTCTGGCAGACAGACAAAGACAATCAAAAGCGAGCGCTTCGCAGCATTGACTTCGAGACATCAGCGCCAGAGACCCAGGAAGGGCTGCGCAAGGCGATGGAAAAAGAATGGGAGAAAATCCTACATTTCGGAGCCGTTGTTGTGATTGAAGGAGGACATGTCATGATCCCCAGCAAGTGAGTCCATGTGGACCAGAACGAATTTAAGAAGCACGCGCCAGACTATCAGCTCCGAAGTGGAAGAGCCGAGCGGTGTCGTGTGGAAACTTCGAGCAGACCGAAGGTATTCGTTCGGATCTCCGACAGGAGACAGTGATCGTGCACATGATCATGGGCTTCACTTGCAGGAACTAAACTGCATTCCGCCGGTGTGAGCAATGCCTACTTTATCCTACTTTCAATCTGGGCCATTGGACCGAGTGTTACTAATTGTGAGACAACCAAGAGGAGGGTTGACCGTCACGGTTGACCCCAATGCCGCACTGCTGGTACGAGTTCCAGTGTACGGACTCACAGACAGTGGCAGGTCATTTTGGCTTCGCTTGTCGTCAGACGCAGGCCTCAATGCCAGCATCATTTATCCCGCATTCTTTTACAAGCTTGACAATGAAGGCCGTTGCGTCGCAAGGCTAAACACACATGTTGATATTTGCTTTACAGCTACTTGCCAGAAGCAAAAGAGGTCATGGATACTCTGCTTGGAGGGTATGAGATGGGATCTCTAGAGGATAGCAATTTTACGTATTGTGGAAAGGCATTTGCAGATCGCATCTTTTGTGGCGAATGTTGAGCAGATGGTGAGAGCGTGTACATCTACCAGGTGCCGAAGCTAGGTTTTTCGTCCACGACCAAACGAGTGCGCCAGCCGAAGCATATTCGTTGCAATCTGGAATCAAGAGCGGAGATATAATCCGGGCCCTTATCGCCGAGACACAGGACAGTTGCATAGCCGCACAAGGACTGGGAATCCGTCGTGACATCCTGTGTCCCGCTTTTGTTTGAATTTTCGGATTGCCGTTCCCTATGTGTCGCCGCAGAGACGCTTGCCAAAGTGTCAGATAAACGCCTCGGGTTTGAATTGGCCGCAATTCATGAGAACTTGTGGCAGGGACCACAGAGAGAACCTGGAATATCTTCCTGAACGGAGGCGATCGCCTGGATTCGATCAGCGCTCACTATATTGAGTGACGCACTTAAGCATGAAACCTGACCTGTTGTTGTCGGTCTTTCGTTCACGCATTTACCAAGACAGACGATGAGCCGAACGTCGAACCGAAGAAGAGAATCGATTTGCCGCAGAAGAGATGTTTCACTGCCTTTGATGCAGAACGCACTATGGAACTATATACTTGCAGAAATCCCTGTTTAGACGCCAGACTGTACATAGCTTTCTGGACAGACTCGAAAAGGTTGAATGTGAAGTTTCCCTGTTGGACGGACGTTGTATAGCCGAGTTCTGGCCACAGTACATGCTGCTGCCATTTGGGTTCGCCGGGCCCTTGAGCTGACCGCGCTGACGAACGCATAGAAAAGCGCATCGGACGGCGAAATCGGGCGCACTTTCACATTTGCTTTAAACAGTCGGATTCCCCTTGTCCGAGCATCCGCCGCACTGTAGACCATCGCGGTCTTGAAAAACAGGTCCGGCTGCTTTGGTCTGCTTGAGGTGGACCTTTGTCCTCCCCACAGGAGCCCAATCAACTCCCCTGCGTGCTCCCGCTACAGAAAATTTACCGCAGACGTTTCCAGAAACATTGCTGACACACAAAAATTTCCAACTGAAACCTGCTTGGGGTCCCAATTGTCATTTCCAATTCGGACTCGGGAGGCTGAAAACGCCTTGACTGCGGATGACGAGTGCCAGGGTGTCAGCGAATGCGCTGTGAGTGCACTCCAGCTTCGTGCGAATGAAGGCCAAAGCAAAGTCAAAAAGACGAGTGAAAAACAAATTGGAAAACCATTGGTCAAACTATGTTGGCAAAAACGTTTTTTTTGGAGGAAAAACATGTGGAAACTCCAGTGGCTAACGTCGACCCATCGCATTTCAACGCAAATAAACCACAACCCAATTACAGGTACTAGGACCTTCACGCAAGTGTCTGGTTTTTGTTCCCCCCTTTTCAGTCCGAAAAGTTACATTTCACCACTGCTGTCGCTTGCAGATCTCAAATTTGGGGCAGAACCCGCTGTGGGGAAACAGGGTGAACGGTTCTTTCCTTTTGGCCACAGTTAACATGTTCCCACTGACACTTCCAATTCGATACCGCTTGCTCAGGGAATGAATTTTCAGCGGCCTCGGAAACTTGGCAGAAAAACATGTTGGTCAACTTGTGTGCAGATCGCTTTCCTGCTCTTCAATCAGGTCATGATAGTTTGTGTCGATGCAGTTTTCGCACTTTGCACTCAGCTTCGCCTAAGAACGAGACCGCGGCACTGGCGAGCGAACTGAACCAAACGGGGAGGTTGTGGAGGTTGTATCATGCCTTTGGGCAGCAAATGAATTGCGTTTGCAGAAAAAATTGCATGATCTATTATACTTGTGCGGCGCACTTGTCCGACATATATACCACACTCTTTTTGCTCTGTGATGTAAGACCATGGTTGCCAGGAGCAAGTATTTTGCTCGTGATGACAGCCCTAGGTCCCTTCGCGCAACACAGAAACACACCGCCACCTAAGACTTAAGATGATGTGTGGCTTTTGAACCTGTTGATGTGAAACGTAGAGACAACTTCAATGACGACAACTACTTCTTGTAATTTGTTGTGCTGTAAGTGGTTTTATCATTTTTATCTTGTTTCATCAGATCGTTCGAAAGGTTACCCTCGTCTTACACGTGGCACGATTTTCAGTATTTGTCGATTTGCTGGCTGCTTTGGGCTGGAAGGGCTCTAGCAAATAGGGATGCACAAGATTTCGTTGATCCATGCACCAGCTTAACCGGACCGGTGTTAGGTCCTGAAAATTGGGAGCTGAAATTATGCGAAATGCATCCTACGCACGTTTGGATTTTGCTGTCGACTTGTGTATCTTCACACCGGCTTCCTTGTTTGGCTGAGGCCACGGTAGGGGATGCGCAGATTGAAGATCTTGGCTCCGAGCCATTCAGCTTCTTCCTCCTAGTAGTAAGAATGCTCGTAGTAGCGATGCCAGGAGCCCTTAGCGGCGTCCTTGTTCCTAGTAGTAAGGCCAGGAGCCCCTAGTAGCAAGGCGAGGAGCCCCTAGTAGCGTCCTTGCTTCTATTAGTAAGGCCAGGAGCC